GTTAATTGTAATTAATTCTAATTAATGGTATTTACTATTTATTGGGATGTTACATTAGTGGTATCAGAGCAGTTTTGTTCTTTTAAGGACGCTGTAGGTTATGAGTGCATTGCGTTTTTGCTGTGTGCTTGTTGTATGTTTAATGAGTTAATTTTATTTTAACTCTTGAACGTAACTAACGCTCGTTTTTCTCTGTGTCCAGAGAATCAATGGCACCTAGATTGCCTCCCCCTCCTCAACCGAGTGAACCTGATACTTCCAACAACTCTAGATTGTTGGAAAACATCATTGAGAGACTTCAACAGCAAAATACCACATTGATGGAACAAAATGCCACGTTAGTGCAGCAAAACCAAGCTGCCATGCAAGGTTTGGAAGCTTCACGGGCTAGTTCGGAAACAACTCAACGACAGCTGATGGAGATTCTAGCAGCAACAAGGCACACCGCGGGAGCGTCTTCTTCCAACGCTGCCCCGCCTACTGCTGAGTGGACGCTGGAGAGTTTCCTTCAACACCATCCGGCTAAATTCAGTGGAAAGTGCCTTCCTGATGAGGCCGACCAGTGGCTGAGAGATATGGAGCGTATTTACAATGCTAAGAGGTGTCCGGATGAAAGCCGCTTGGCTTTTACAGAGTATTTGTTGACTGGAGAAGCTAGTCACTGGTGGACGAGTATGAAGGCCATATTAACGGACGCTCAGAAACCAATAACCTGGGCGGTTTTCAGAAGCAAGTTTTATGAGGAGTAATTACCGGACAGCGTACGTTACGCTAAGGAAGTTGAGTTCCTTCAACTGGCACAAGGAACAAAGTCTGTGTCGGAGTATACCAACACCTTTAAACACCTCCTGAGGTTCAATACGATGGCTACTAGCGAGGAATGGCAGTGCAGGAAATTTGAAAATGGGTTGAGAAGTGACCTGAAAGTATTGATATCGAGTTTGTGTATCCGGTCTTTTCCTGCTATGGTTTTGGAGAAAAACATGGCAGAAGCGGAACGTCAGAAGAGGTCGCAGCAAGTGAGTAGAGGACCGATGGTGTCCAGGGGAGGAGCTGTACAGAGGAGACCTCCTTACGCTCGTCCAAATCAGTCTTCTCAGACGAGCGGATCTCAAGCAGTAGTTCCTGTCGGACAGTCTGGACAGGGAGGTGTTGTTTGTTTCCGGTGTGGAGGGCCACATTATAGATCTTCATGCCCTCTTTTGGTGGGAGTCAAGTACTGTAATCGTTGTGGGAGAAACGGACATTCGGATCATGAGTGCAATATGAGTGGGCGTGCGGTGATGAGGCCACCCAATGCTGGAAGGAATCAGGCGAGAGGAGGACGAGCCCAAGCTAGTGGGCGAGTGTATGCTATAACGAGCACTGAAGCAGCAAGCTCAGGTAACCTTGTAATTGGTAAATGCATGTTGTATGGTAGATCATGCTGTGCTTTGTTTGATTCGGGGGCAACGCACTCCTTCATCTCGAAGGCGTGTGTTGAAAAGCTGGGATTAGAAGTGAGCGAGATGCAGTTTGATCTGGTGGTGTC